CCCAGTCGATGCAGTCGGCTGCGGTATCGATCGAGCAGAGCCATCGCCCGTCGCTTGTGCACTTTGCAAGCGATTGCGCAATCGCTTGCCAATCGCTCGACCGAGAGCGATTGGCAAGCGACGGACAAGCGATGGAGCGATCGCGATCGCTCCATCGCTTGTCCGTCGCCGACTATGACGTCGGTCTAAAATATTCGCCGATCAGTTTTTGTAGCCACTTTCCAGCTCGATATGGCCGGACGAATTGCACTGCTTGCAGACCGTTGTGAGACTGGAACCCTACAGTGTATCCTGGTCTTTCCCACACATACTTGGCCGTTGAAAGGCTTGCACAGTGATCCAAGCTCCTGCACTTAACATCACGTGGTTTCTTGAAAACTTGTTGAGTATTTAGCTGGTTTGTCGCCCTCCAATATCATGAAGACATACCCCCCCCCCTCAACCTGGTGTTGTTCTCTCACACGAAACTGAATGCAGGGGCACGAAGTGGACACGCGCAACTGAAGAATGGTCAAGAAGTGCTCGACGCAGTCTTGAGAAGGCCCTGGCGCCTTTGCCGCGCAGGAAACGGGACATCTGCGACTTTAGTGAACGCTTTAATCCTGTAGGGATTTGATCACCGAAACTCGTTGTGGGGTCGTGTTTTTGTATTTTTATTATTTATTTTTTTGTATTTTTCAGCTCATCCTGGCCTACGCCTCTTGTCTCCATCATTTCAACAATTAGTTTTCGATTTTCGTCTTATCTTCAGTATTGAGGAGACCCCTTCCCAGGGGAGCTTGCAGGGATGGGCGTGCAGATCTCGACATCCCCCACTGAAATAAAGCTGGCTTTCATGTGAACCCTTCAGAGGTACTATTGTCGCAGAGTTGTGAAACGTCGAAAATCGCAGACAGCGAGATCGACGTGTTCCAAGGAAAAATAGTGATCCGGTAAAACATGGCCAAACTTAAAGGAGGATTTCGCGTAAGAACGAAGGTCGAAGAAGGGAAAATTGCATAGTTGGGAGACAGGCGGACCTCCTGAGGGTGCTGACCGACGCGCAATTGGCAGCGAAAGATTTGACCTCGGCGATCTAGCATGGCTCACTCTTGGCGCGGTTGGCGGGGTACGCCCACCGACTACTGCCACAGGTCTATACGCTGCTTGTGATAGATAGCAGAGAGAGCGTAGCGTTAAAGAGGGCACAAAGATGAGAATCGTATCAGCCCTTTCTCATGGTTTTCCCTTCTTTCTTGTACCACTTACCATCCTTAATTTAATTTGATATGGGTTGTTTTTCGTCGTAACTTCTGCCCTTGAGAAAATATTGGAAAGGGCAACGAGAGTTTAACATCCGTTTTGCACGTGCACGTAGACGGAAAGGGTTTTTCCGTAATGATTCACCAATACCGGCAGATGGGGTTAGTCAGAGATCTAACTGGAACGCTACCCTCTACAAACAAAACCGGCCGTGATTTGTGATCACTACGAAACGCACATCATTCCGACAAATTCGCCGAGCACGACCGATTAATGAAAACCCACGGCGTTGCTGCTATCGTACCAGTGTTGTGGAACCGTTTCATGTACCAAGTCCGTTTTCCTTTTCGTTCTAGTTGAAGTATTTTGTATTGTGCAATTTCTACTGCTTCGGATTCGTCTTCTCATTATCATCATTATCATCAAGTCTCATGAGAATCGTAGACAAATCAATGGGTCGCATCCGGTAAGCAGGGGGGGGGGTTGGTTTACAGCGCCGAACACACGACGACTAACCTTTGTTATCAAACTTCCGAGAACAAGCCTTAAAGCAACAGTCCCAGCAGGGTTTTTACCTTCGACACTAATGGTGTGGAACGATGCGCTAGCCCTAGTCAAGAACATAAGAAGTGTGACTGAACAAAAAACTCACCTTGGAAAGCCGCTAGAAAGGGAGCTGAACGGCTTCGAAGTGGGCGTGGTTGAATCGCCGTTGCGCAGTCCCCTCGACCGATTTAACCACGCCCACATCGAAGCAGATCAGTGGATAGAGCAGATCAGTAGCAGTAGATCCCCTTCCAGTGACTTTCCAAGGTGAGTTTTTTGTTTAGTCGCACTTCTTACGTTCTTGACTAGGGCTTGTTCCACACTGTTAGTGTCGAAGATAAAAACCCTGCTTAGAATTAAGTTGCTTTAAGGTGTTGGAGGAGACTCCACGGTGCGGGGGGACTTTTCCTTCCTCAGAGAACCTTCTCAATTAGGCGTAGTCCCCAAGAATCCTCACCCTTCAACTCACAATGGCTTCTTCGCGCCCTGAAGTACAAAATCCAAACCGGCATTAGAGCAGACTGTGCCCCCTCCTAGTGGATGAGACCCAATCAATTTTCGGACCACAGTGGTGTAGCAATTATACGCCCGATTAGAGACCAGTTGTGCGGCTCTTTGTGCACCTGCCGTTTTGTAGTACCCAAGATTCAGTCATCCGTGACCGCTCGCGGACCGCATCGCATGGTTTGAGCGTTAGGAGAGTGGGCGTAGATCTCTTTTGAATTTTCCCTGTCGCAATTACGGTCCGCCGACCATATTTATTCTTTTAGTCCTGCTTTGTAAGAGTTATTCTCGACCTTATTTAAAATAGTGTAGTGAGCACTGGATCAGTATCGGTCACTTGTTCGGAATCTGCTGCCGTTCTGAACTCAGCCACATGCACCTTTGTAAATGGGCTATAATGACCGACGCTGCCCTGCTATCCGGGGAACGAAAACCCGACGCAGTCTGGTTCATGTACGGGTACTGAATTTGGTCCTTCAAATGCGTCGCTGCTAAATATGTATGGAACATAGCACCTAAACTTCATTTCAGAAGCTCAAAAATTGTAATAGGAGTGAGCCTTGAACTGCTGTAGCCTCTTATGGGTTTTACGAATATGATGGCTTACAGTACAAGGGCAAGGGTGCAGCGGGTCTGGGACAGAATGCGATTTTTTCGCATTTCGCAACGCGAAATTTTTCCGCTGCGGTAACTTCGGGTCCATCAGGGCAATTGGTCTGTAACTGGGCATAGTGGGACTTTATGAGCTCTTCTCTTTTACATTCTTATTCTCTTGACAACGGTTAGAACATCGCGGAGTGATTCCAACCCAGGAAGGTGGTTACCACTTGGATCAATCGATGTTTGGCGCAATCGTGCAGGTCCTAAATCCGTGTTCCATGGTCACTCATTTGCCGTACAACCCACCTGCAGAACCCATTCAGGCCTTGTTTTTGAACCACGGTATCCCGGGATCTGCGAAACCTGCGAAAGCAATCAGATCTGAATTCGTTCGAAGAATCTTGGAATGTTCGGAATCTTCAGAACCCCGGAAAATCCGCCCTATACAACCAGTGTCTTCCCCTCTCTATCCTGCATACTTCTAAACATTGGCAATATTTCTGTAAACGACGCGCCGTAACCAGTTTCAAACCACGTTCGCAATATTGCGGAAGATGAGATGTGCCGCTGACGTAATTTTGCGTAACATTGGTTTTTGTTTTGAATATTTCGTTGTCCTCTAGGATGTTCGCCAAGTAAGTATGGATTTTTGTTTAGTGCATGACGCGTATCTTTGCACAACAAGTCTGGTCACAATGATTAATTAAGTTATTTACTTGGTTATACGCCGGTTTTTTTATCGCCTCTGAGTTCTGCGATTTCTTTCATTGACAGAACTTTTTGTTTCCTTGTTATGTCGGCGTGTAACCTTCTCCTTCATCTTTTTATGCGTTTCATTGAAAGATACCGTAACCTCATTAAAGGATCCTGTTTGAAAGATGCTGTTACCGCTTTTGTTCTCGTAATAGTTCGAGATTATTCAAATTCTTGCCAACAGATAGCTTAGAAAAGCTGGCACTTTCCAATATTACTGCCCCAAAACTTGAAATTTTGTTATCGTGAAAATTTCGTTCATATGGGCTAATTTATGCCCTGATACGAGAATGACCCCAGGGTGCTATTGTCACGACGACTGTTTTCATCAAATTCGGTGTTAATTTGAATTTAGGGATGTATCCTGATTATAAACATCACATTCACTTTCTGCATTGCCGTCATTTACCGACTATTTTCTGGTCGTCTGCGCCCGCCCTCTCAGATGCCCGTCAGACTCGGCGGTTGTGCCGAGCGATGGGCGATCGCGACATCTCAATGACTAGACTTGCGATCAGAATTAACAACACGTCTGTGTGGGAGGAATGTTTAGAAGTGAATAGGCTCACCCTGTGATCTCTGCTGCGCTAATTCCAAAGGAGTCTATAACTTTGCTGCACAAACAGATCAGGACGCCAACGCCTACAAGCCGCCCATCGTAACATTTTACCAACACCGGATTTGTGGAAACAAGCGTCTAAGCTCAAGAAAACGCCGCCACCGTCAAAATGAATAATCATTCGGCTCTGGCAATGCCGGTAGTTTACACCTGGAGAGTCTTGCCGCCAACGTCAGGAAAAATGGGTGGGGGGGGGGGGATCTGAGCAATTTTCGTTCTATTTGGTGTTTCACCTCTCTTTGGGCTTAGTCACCTCCGCGGTTCTTGAAGGCCCTGTGAGTGTCCCCCTCCCCACCCCCCCGTCCCCAAGGCCATGAGGGGAGACGTTCAGTCCTCCTCCTAGATCAGGTCATTAGAACTGCACAGTCAAGCTTAAGGTTATGCTTGGGTTTAAAATTAGGCTGAGGCCTAGGCTTACTCATTGGCTTAAGCCTATCATTGAGCCTGCCTGTTTAAGCCTATCATTGGACGTAGCCTTATTCCTAGGCTTGCTTCGAGCCAGTGAGTGGTGTCCTAATTTTAGGTGAGCTGACTTGAGGAAGGGAACTAAAACGTGGACGGCCATGAGCACCCATATTCGTAATCGAAGCCTTGGACTACCCCTTAAAAGCATATTTTCAGCAAAAAAAAATAAAATTTTGAGATTTCAGGGCTGTAGTAGTGAAATAGTGCCGAAAAAGCTGTGTCTTGCCTGTTTTCAAATTATGTGATATAATATTTTCTATTCGGCAGAGCCATGGGTAAGGCCCACCTCAGCAATGGTGGCGAACCGTGTGAGCCCTTGCTGGATCAGCCGGAGGAGAAATCTAAAAGCATTCTCAGCCCTAACCCAGAGGCTACAGCCAATATTTTTTCTAGGATTACTTTTATGTAAGTTTATTTTAGTTTCTCATGATATGGAAGTGTTATTCGATTTGTGCCGATGCTCATGTGAAGGTTTATTTGCAGATTTATGACCAAGCTTTTTTACAAGGGATGCCGGAAAACGCTAGAAGTGGAGGACATGTACGAGCCCTTGCCAGACCATGAGTCTGAAGCTGCCACGAATCGTCTGACAAAGTGAGGAAAAAGCTCTGATTCAGAGCCGGTATTAGCTCTTAAAAGATCGCTTAACTTTCCTCTGCTGCAGAGCTTGGAATGAGGAGCAGGAATTGGCTGCAAAGTCAGGGAGGGATCCCAACCTCATGGCAGCAGTTCGAAGAACATATTGGAAGGAAATTGCTCAATTCGGTGTATTGCTATTCCTGGAGGTAATCCTAAGACTTTTGATTCCGCAGTTTTATTTATTTCCTACGTTTCCTTACATAGAACTATACGTTAGAACTGTTCCATTTGTTGTTTCTATCCTTATATACTGTGTTTTGTCGAGCATCTACGTGCCGTTAAAGTGGGTAGTCGCCACAGATACTAACGATTATGCATTTCTGGAAGTCCGAGAAGATCTAGAATGAAGTGGTTGAGAGAACAGGAGAATGGGCGCATCGCAAGAGCGGAATTCGGAAGTTGGCGCAGGCGTTATCGCAAGATAGGAGGCAACCTTTATTACTGAGCCTAGGAAGTGGTAGGAACCTTGAGGAAGTGAAAATTGCTAAGGCTTTCCAATCTTTTCTCGCCGCCTAAAGCTTAGCCCCATTTTTTGAAAGGAAGGAGATGTTTTTCGCGGTTTAAATGCATTACCATCACAATGCCCCTATCTTGCGATAGTGTCACGAGTCGCGTAGATGAATCGGGATGTCGGGTCCATTTCATTCTTTTCGCCGATTCTCACTCATGGATTCTCTTGTTCCTTCAGTCTCCCAGTCGGTAAGATATGTATTCCCTGTCGCGGGTTCGCCTATTCTCTGAAGTCGGAGATTGTCAGTGCCCGATCAACAGCAGACAAAAGTATGGAGTAGTATTAAGCTTGTGTTAGACTGAATGTTATTTTTCTTGCCAAGTAATTGTTCGGGTTGTTTGGAGGTGGCAGTCACGACGGTTCGGCGTTTCGATATGTGAAAGCAGAGGGAGCGAAATGGTGTGAAAGTAAAAAATATTGCCAGAAAACTGCCAAACAGTGTGAAATCTGAGCTTCATTTTGTTCGTCGATTTTGAATGAACGAGATCAGGATTAACATAGTGACCATTTGGGTAAGTTATCCTGATGAAAGGTACGACACGATTGGTCTGAACAGGTCCTAACCACGTTTCCAGTAGTGAGCGTGCTCTCTGAGTGGCGTTCGTGAGCGCCTTGTCGCGCTGTTACTAGAGCAATCCTGCCGCCAAAGCGCGTTTACCGTCCGCTTGGGCAAGTTTCTACCTGATATGCAGCCTTTTCTTTGAAGTATATAGAATACTGTGACCGCTGCCTTCAATAAGTTTGAGGGTGTCCAACGTCGATGAGGCTAATGAGTTGGTAGCTTCGCTGGTACGCCATGCATTGGGTCGAGCTGGATGCAAATTGCCATCACGTGAAGAGTGCTCGCATCACACAGCCTTTTTACAAAAAAAATGTGTTTGCTTTACCAGTAAAATACTTCTTTGAATAACACTTTTTTTCAGGAAAGTGTCAAACTTTGTCAACCACTTTTTATGGGTCGTCTGATTCGTTACTTTCGGTTTGACGCCCCTTTGACTGAAATGGAGGCATATGTTGGTGAGCTTGTTGAGCAATTTGGCGTTTTTTTTTCCTGTGGAAATGTACTTGGCAACTAAATGCACTTGGCAACAAGATGTGGTCACTCTGCTTCCTCCATTTTCTGTGATAGCGCTCAGTAGCCTATGCGTATACATATATAGCCAATAACAAGTTATTTTTTGATTTATCAAACATCTAAAGCTGGTGTAAGAATGCGCGATCCGTCGTGAATCGCGCGACGGATCGCGGAGTTTGACACCAGTCTAACGCCATTATTAAATCTGTGTAATCGTATTGTGGCTTGCAATGGAGAATCTTATGCCAGTTAAAACTTTGATTTCTAGCTGCTGGAGGAGTTGCGATGACCGCTGCTCTGTTTGCGCTAATTCACCATCCATATTTTTACGGCCTTCAGAAGGTCGGCCTCCAGCTGAAGGTTGCTGCTAGTGGGATGCTGGTAAATAAGGTGAATTGACTACACGTTTTATTACTAAAAACTTATCAATGTTGAAATATCTTACAGGGTATTCGTCTTTCGAGTTCCGCTCTGCATAAAACCACTGTTGGCCACATGGTGAATCTACTTTCCACGGATATCAACAAATTCGATATGGTGAATGACTTTCTGTATCTCACTCCACTCAAAATTGATGCTTGTTTACCGGATTGCCTTTGGCATTGTTTGTTTTAGGGTTTCTTGTTTCTTCATTACATGTGGGTTTCTCCACTGCTGCTAATTGGCTACAGCTTTTTCCTATGGCAGGAAATTGGACCATCATCTTTTGCCGGTAATTTTGCGGATCACAACTTTTGTTGACTTAGTGTAGCTTTTATTTAAGGATTCGGAGCCCTGGTACTTCTAATCCCGATTCAGGGCTACTTTAGCAGGCAAATGGGAGTGTGCAGGTTTGTCACGGGCTTGAACACGCTTCTTTTTATAAGTATTCACATAGCAGACGGAACATTAAGAAAACTGTTTATAGGAGAGCTATTGCCGCACGTACCGATAAACGTATTAGTATCATGAATGAAATACTGAACGGTATCCGAGTGATTAAGATGTATGCGTGGGAAGGCGCGTTTTCTGAGGTTGTTGCTGACTTGAGGAGGTAAGCGTTCGTCGTTATTCTTCAATTCACAACAACGTACCTCCCAACTTTGTAATTCAGGCGTGAAATGCGCAAAGTACGTCAAAATGCTGTCTATCAATCTCTTGTAATGGGATTGTTTTGGTCGTCGGGGAAGCTCATTGTTCTCTTTGCCGCTTTGTGTTACGTTTTTACCGGCAACGAGCTCACTGCGGAAAGGATTTTTGTCGCTGTAAGTTTTGCATATTTCAGTGAAGTTTTGTTTCTTTGAGTATATGCAACGCTTTACTACTCCTGTTTTGTTACTGTTGTTTAGACTGCCCTTTACAACGCATGTCGATTGCCAGTCACTCTGTTTCTTCCGTTTTCATTGCAGTTCTTTTTTGAAGTTCGGGTATCCGTCAGACGTATTCAGGTATGCGAGAATTGTTTCGACGAGCAAAATGAATCGATTCCTGCTCAATCTCTCTTTTTCTGCTTTTCAGGCTTTTCTTGAATTAGAAGAGTTTTCCTCCTACTGCCATAATTCACTGACTTACAAGGAGGAACCAAACCAAAATGTTATTGCCAATTCTGAGACCAAGGACGAAAGCAAGGTATTTTAGCATTGAGTCTGGTAAACCACCAATAAATAGGATCTCAATCCATTTGCAAAATCTCTTCAGGCTCTTCTGGATCACGAGATGAATAACATAGATGTAATCAGTGACGAGAAGAAAAAGCTTGTCGAGGATGGTGGTCGAGTTGTTGCTCAATCGCTTACTACAACATGGCAAACAGCTGAGGTTTCTCCTCACTCACATTCTTTCTCGATCATGGTCCACAATTTTTTTTTCAGGAAGAGGGAGAAGATGTTTATGCCGTTAAAAATCTCAATCTTGAAGCCAATCCAGGTGATCTAGTCGCTGTTATTGGTCCTGTTGGATCAGGAAAGGTGATAGTTTGTACTGTATTCGTTAATCTTTCTGCTAATGAGTAGACACTGTATGCTGATCGTTTTCGTAGACCAAATTGATATTGTGGCTGCTGCACCGCGCGTAGCCTAAGTATTAATTCCAAGAAGGGGTAGGCAGATTTTGCTGTTTCCAAGGAGCTCAGCTAGTGAATGCAATGACTATGGGGTTGTCTGGAGGGCTCACGACCGGTTAACGGACTACTTCAACTCGGTTCCTTTGTGCTGCTTCACTCGGCGCTTTCGTCTGCGTGCTCTCTCTCT